CAGAAGTGACACCTGGAGGGGCCGTCTGGGCGCAGAGGAGAAAAAATAGAGACATTGTAACAATCAGCTACATTCTGAAGGAATTAAACTAACGCAGGCCACATTTTATTGGCCGGAAAAAAAAAAAATCGGTAGATTTTCACACCGTTAGTGGGTTAATTGGTCGGCCGTTTTTCAGGGTTTTGGTACATTTTTTTTATCGGTCAAGTTGGAAAATTTGCGGCTGATTTTGACGATTGCCCGATTTTCCCGGCAATGATGGGCACATCAGGCAATCGTTTTACTGATAAAAAATCTGCGCATGAGCCGTGACCTGCAAAAAGAAAAAAAGAAGAAGAAGAAAAGGAGAAGAAAAAGAAAAAGAAGAAGGAGAAAAAAGAAAAAAAGAAGGATAAAAAGAAAAAGAAGCAGAAGCAAAAGGAGAAAGAAGAAGAGGAAGAAGAAAAAGAAAAAGAAGAAAATATGAAGAAGAAAAAGAAGAAGAAAAGAAGAGGAAGAAGAAAAGAAGAAGAGGAAAAAGAAGGAGAAAGAAGAAGAAAAGAAGAGGAAGAAAAAGAAGGAGAAAGAAGAAGAAAAGAAGAGGAAGGAGAAAAGGAAAAGAAATAGAAGAAAATGAAGAAGAAGAAAAGAAGAAGAAGAAGAAGAAAAGAAGAGGAAGAAGAAAAGAAGAAGAAGAAAAAGAAGGAGAAAGAAGAAGAAAAGAAGAGGAAGGAGAAAAGGAAAAGAAAAAGAAGAAGAAGAAGAAAAAGAAGAATAAGGAAAAGAAGAAAAAGAAGAAAAGAAGAAGAAAAGAAGAAGAATTCCAGTCCGCTATTATACTTTATATGAAAAGTCTTGCGGTTGCAACAATGTATCCATTTGTATCCAAATAAAAACATCTGTATCCGAAATGGATACAAATAGATACAATGTTGCAACCGCTATACTTTTTCATGTCAAATATAATAGCGGGGCTCTCTGCAGGGACAGAAGTAATTAAATGCCGGCCCGAATCGGCCAATTTTTTTTACCGTTGGTGATAACGTCGGCCGTTCGAACAACCGATTTTTCGTTTTTTTTGTATTAAAAACTGGCCGGTTTTCGACCCGTCTATGGCCTGCATAAGGCCGGCCATTCATGGGTTGAAAATCGACTGATTTTTCGTCCGAAAATCAGACCTAAGAATAATCGGCCGATTTTCGCTCTGTTAGTGGGTCCATGGCACCGGACGATTTTCGTGGTTCCTCCCCTTTTTGGTGATCGGGCATGTTGGAAAATCCATGAAAAACTACCGATTTTTCAACTCAGTGATGGTCAAATCATACGATTGTTTTTCCTAAAAGAATATGCGCATGAGCCGTGACCTGGAAGGAACAGAAGTTTTGCATGTTATATGGGGTGAACTTTATGACTCGGTCGGCCGATTTTCTAAATCAATGATGGCACGTTTGTGGTTTTTAGACAAAAAATCGTTCGGAATTCGAACCATGTATGGCCTACATAAGTGCCCGGTCATACCGGTGCGATTTCAGGTGCGAGTTGCAAATGGAAATCGCACCTAATGAATGTGAATGTCAGTGTCTTAGGGCCAGTTCACACTGCATGCGTTTCAGTTGCTTTTTTTCTGCATTCAAAATGCAATAGAAAGTAGGTGATATGGTTGTCAATGTCATAGTTCACATCAGTGCTTGCAGTTCCTGTGCGTTCCGGTTGCAGAAAAAAATGACTGCATTTTTTCTGCACAGAACTGTACTGGAGCGCACCAAAAATGCACTGGAACGTATATGTTCCTATTTAAATGGAAGAAAAAGAGAGGGAAAAATGAACTGGAACACATCAAACATGCACCAGAACACCTTAAAAATGCATCAAAAATGCGCATGCAGGAACGCATACAGACTGCGTTTCTATACTGTAAACCGACCCTTAACGTGTGCGATTTGCTGCAGCGCGATTTCTAAAGTAGTTCTTGCATTACTTTTTTCTGCAGTTTTGTTGCGATTTCACATACGTAAAATATAATAGAAGTCGCACTGCAAATTGCAAGAAATCGTTAAAAATCTTCACAAGTAGCAATAAAGTATTTAGAAATCGCACCTGAAATCGCGCTGAAATTGCACACAAATTGCATGATTTTAAATCGCAGTAGTGTGACTGGTGACCTAAGAGCCCGTTCACACTTATGCAACTTGTCATGCAACTTTGGGGGACCAAAGTCGCATGACAAGTTATACCCCATGTTTCCCTGTGAGTACCATTCATATTAGTGCAACTTCAAGTCGCATTGACATAAAAGTAGTTCCTGCACTACTTTGGTCTGACTTTCTAAAGTAGTTCTTGCATCACTTTTTCTGCAGTTTTGTTGCGATCAGGGGCGGACTGACAACTCATGGGGCCCCCGGGCAATAGGGGATCATGGGGCCCCTGTGTCCTTGCCTAAACTCAAAAAAGCCTATGAAAAAGGTACCAGGGGCATCTCATGGGGCCCCCTACTGACCCCGGGCCCTCGGGCAGTGCCCAAGTTTCCAAATAGTCAGTCCGCCCCTGGTTGCAATTTTACATACATAGAATGTAATAGAAGTCGCACTGCAAATTGCAAGAAATCATTAAAAATCTTCACAAGTAGCAATAAAGTATTTAGAAATCGCACCTGAAATCGCGCTGAAATTGCACACAAATTGCACGATTTTAAATCGCAGTAGTGTGACTGGTGACCTAAGAGCCCGTTCACACTTATGCAACTTGTCATGCGACTTTGTGGGCCCAAAGTCACATGACAAGTTACACCCCATGTTTCCCTGTAAGTACCATTCATATTAGTGCAACTTCAAGTCGCATTGACATAAAAGTAGTTTCTGCCCTACTTTGGTCTGACTTTCATGTGACTTGAGGGCCATAGACTTCAATGTAAACCCTCCAAAGTTGCATGAAAGTTGCACCTGAATGATATACACGCGACATGTGTGCAACTTTGTACAGCAGAAACAATCATCCTTGGTCAATGCCAAAGTGCACTCATCCAAAGTAGCATCAAATGTGCGCCAAAGGAACGCATCCGGGATGCATCACGTCAAAGGAACGCAGTATAGAAACGCATCCAGAACGCATCTAGACTGCGTTTCTATAGTGTGAACCGACCCTTAACATGTGCGATTTGCTGCAGTGTGATTTCTAAAGTAGCTCTTGCATCACTTTTTCTGCAGTTTTGTTGCGATCAGGGGCGGACTGACAACTCTGGGGGATCAATAAGGGATCATGGGGCCCCTGTGTCCTTGCCCAAACTCAAAAAAAGCCTATGAAAAAGGTACCAGGGGCATCTCATGGGGCCCCCTACTGACCTCGGGCCCTTGGGTAGTGCCCAAGTTTCCAAATGGTCAGTCCGCCCCTGGTTGTAATTTTTACACACATAGAATGTAATGGAAGTCGCACTGCAAAGTTGCAAGAAATTGTTAAAAAATCTTTATAAGTAGCAAGAAAGTTTTCAGAAATCGCACCTGAAATTGTGCTGATATTGTACACAACTTTGTACAGCAGAAAGAAATCATCCTTGGCCAATGCCAAGGTCGCATTCATCCAAAGTAGCATCAAAGCTGCGTCAAAGGAACGCATCCGAGATGTGTTGTGTGAAAGGAACGCACGATAGAAATGCATTTGGAATGCATCTGGACTGCGTCTCTATAGTGTGAACCGACCCTTAACACGTGCGATTTGCTGCAGCGAGATTTCTAAAGTAGTTCTTGCATCACTTTTTCTGCAGTTTTGTTGTGATTTCACATACATAGAATATAATGGAAGTTACACTGCAAATTGCAAGAAATCGTTAAAATTTTTTCATAAATTGCATACAAATCGCGCAATTTTAAATCGCAGCAGTGTGACTGGTGACTATGAGCCCGTTCACACTTATGCAACTTGTCATATGACTTTGGGGGTCCAAAGTCGCATGATAAGTCGCACCCCCCCATTTTTTCCCAATGAGTACCATTCATATCGGTTCGACTTCAAGTCGCAGTGACTTGAAAGTAGTTCCTGCACTACTTTGGTCTGACTTTCATATGACTTGAGGGCCATAGACTTCAATGTAAACCCTCCAAAGTTGCATGAAAGTTGCACTTGAAGGATATACAGTACATGCAACTTGTGTGTGACTTTCTACAGCAGAAAAAATCTATCTTGGTCAAAGCCAAAGTTGCACCAAAGTCGCATCAAGTCGCACTGTAAAGTCGCCATGAAAATCACATGATTTTGAAGTCGCACAAGTGTGAATGGAGCCAAAACAATATCCTTCTTCACCAATAATAATCCATACACATCTGCTGCTTAATGGCTCCATAATCTATTATCCCTGAAATTGCTTCTGTATTTTTGTGCCTCCTTTTACTGTCCTTTGTCCCTCACTTCCATTTGTTTGAAATGAGCAGTGCAAAATCGCATAGGCGTTTTTACCCCTTTTTCACTGCGCTTTTGCCGGTTTTTTCTGGCCGGTTTTTTTTTAAAGGACACGTGACTTAAAAACTTTATTTACCAAAAAAACGCTTCTTCGAGGTGTTTTTTAGGCATTTTCAATGCGTTTTTCAGGTGTTTTTCAATCATTTCAATGAGGCGTTTTTGGGGCGTTTTTTTTACTCCCAAAATATGCCCCAAAGATGCTGCAAGGGAAACATTTTTCTTGAGCTTTTCAGGTGCTTTTTTAAACACAAAAACACTTGAAAAACTCCAGAGTGTGAAAGCATGTTTAGCCCGGGTTCACACTGTGGAATTTGCTGCGTTTTTGCACAGGAAACAGGAGAGCGGATATAGTGAATGCAGGGTCCTGGGAGACCGGATATAGTGAATGCAGGGTCCGGGGAGAGCGGATATAGTGAATGTGGGGTCCCGGGGAGACCGGATATAGTGAATGCAGGGTGCCAGGGAGACCGGATATAGTGAATGCAGGGTCCGGGGAGAGCGGATATAGTGAATGCAGGGTACCCGGGGAGACCGGATATAGTGAATGCAGGGTCCAGGGAGACCGGATATAGTGAATGCAGGGTCCGTGGAGACCAGATATAGTGAATGCAGGGTCCGGGGAGACCTGATATAGTGAATGCAGGGTCCGGGGAGACCGGATATAGTGAATGCAGGGTTCTGGGAGAGCGGATATAGTGAATGCGGGGTCCGGGGAGACCGGATATAGTGAATGCCAGGGTCCGGGGAGACCGGATATAGTGAATGCAGGGTCAGGGGAGACCGGATATAGTGAATGCAGGGTCCGGGGAGACCATATATAGTGAATTCAGGTCCGGGGGAGAGCGGATATAGTGAATGCAGGGTCCGGGGAGAGCGGATATAGTGAATGCAGGGTCCGGGGAGACAGGATATAGTGAATGCAGGGTCCGGGGGGAGAGAGGATAGAGTGAATGCAGGGTCTGTGGAGACCAGATATAGTGAATGCAGGGTCCGGGAGAGAGGATATAGTGAATGCAGGGTCCGGGGAGACCAGATATAATGAATGCAGGGTCCGGGGAGACCAGATATAGTGAATGCAGGGTCCAGGGAGACCAGATATAGTGAATGCAGGGTCCGGGGAGACAAGATATAGTGAATGCAGGGTCCGGGGAGAGCGGATATAGTGAATGCAGGGTCTGGGGAGAGCGGATATAGTGAATGCAGGGTCCAGGGAGACCAGATATAGTGAATGCAGGGTCCGGGGAGAGAGGATAGAGTGAATGCAGGGTCTGGGGAGACCAGATATAGTGAATGCAGGGTCCGGGGAGAGAGGATATAGTGAATGCGTGGTCCAGGGAGACCAGATATAGTGAATGCAGGGTCCGGGGAGACTAGATACAGTGAATGCAGGGTCCTGGGTGAGCAGATATAGTGAATGCAGGGTCCTGGGAGAGCAGATATAGTGAATGCGGGGTCCAGGGAGAGCGGATACAGTGAATGCAGGGTCTGGGGAGACCAGATATAGTGAATGCAGGGTCCGGGGAGACCAGATATAGTGAATGCAGGGTCCACGGAGACCAGATATAGTGAATGCAGGGTCCGGGGAGACCAGATATAGTGAATGCAGGGTCCAGGGAGACCAGATATAGTGAATGCAGGGTCCGGGGAGATAAGATATAGTGAATGCAGGGTCCGGGGGAGAGAGGATATAGTGAATGCAGGGGTCCTGGGAGACTGGATACAGTGAATGCAGGGTCCGGGGAGAGCGGATATAGTGAATGCAGGGTCCAGGGAGACCAGATATAGTGAATGCAGGGTCCGGGGAGACAAGATATAGTGAATGCAGGGTCCGGGGGAGAGCAGATTTAGTGAATGCAGGGTCTGGGGAGACTGGATACAGTGAATGCAGGGTCTGGGGAGACCAGATTTAGTGAATGCAGGGTCCGGGGAGACCAGATATAGTGAATGCAGGGTCCGGGGAGAGCGGATATAGTAAATTCAGGGTGTAAAAAGGCTGTTTGATCCTGTCTTCTCTGATCCTCCCCTTCTACTGTCCCCAATCCATCTGCTGATAGTACAGAGCTCTAGGGGTCACTCTGCACATGCTCAGTTTGATGTGTATTGCTAGAGAGTTTTGTTTTTTTCTTTGGGAGGGTGCATGTGATCAGCACAGGGCGAATTAGCACTGTCCAGACAGAGGGGTCAGGGGTTATGCAGCCTCATAGGACATTCAGAGGAGAATGAAAACTCATCCGACAAGCTTTAACCAATGCTCTGCTGGACACTGATAGAAGTCAAAAGACTGCTATATACTGCTGATGGGAAAAGGTATTTAACAGTTTCTATGAGTGAGTGCTCATATGATTTCTGGCAGGATCCAATTGTATTTAGTGCATTTATTGAATAGATATTACAAAATGCTTTCAATGGTATAATAATGGAGCAGGAGTGGAATGACCATTTGGAAACTCGGGCACTGCCCAAGGGCCCAGGGTCAGTAGGGGCCCCCATGAGATGCCCCTGGAACCTTTTTCATAGGCTTTTTTGAGTTTGGGCAAGGACACAGGGGCCCCATGATCCCCTATTGCCCGGGGGCCCCATGAGTTGTCAGTCGCCCCTGTAATGGAGCAATATGGACGTAACCCCCCTGGCAGCCATTTTTCTGAAGACTAAAGTTGGCCAAACACTATACAATCTTATTGTACAATGTCCTTTAGATTTAGCAAAAATGAGGACAAACCTAAACAGTCCATTCCATCTGTATCCAGTCAGGCAGGCCTTTGTACTGCACATTCATTGGTTGGTCTAAAGCAGTGGTGGGCAACCTTTTTTTTCAACTGAGCCAAATCTCGCCAAAACCATGATTGAAATTTATTTTGAGAGCCACATTTTTAAAACTGAAAATACATCTCCCATATAGTAATTCATCCCCCATAGTAATTCATCCCCCATATAGTAATTCATCCCCCATAGTGTAATTCATCCCCCATAGTGTAATTCATCCCCCATAGTAATTCATCCCCCATAGTAATTCATCCCCCATATAGTAATTCATCCCCCATATAGTAATTCATCCTCCATATAGTAATTCATCCCCCATAGTAATTCATCCCCCATATAGTAATTCATCCCCCATAGCAATTCATCCCCCGTATAGTATTTCATCCCTCGTATAGTATTTTCATCCCCCGTATAGTATTTCATCCCCCGTTATAGTATTTCATCCCCCATATAGTATTTCATCCCCCCCATATAGTATTTCATCCCTCATATAGTATTTCATCCCCCATATAGTAATTCATCCCTCATATAGTATTTCATCCCTCATATAGTATTTCATCCCCCCATATAGTATTTCATCCCCTCATATAGTATTTCATCCCCCCATATAGTATTTCATCCCTCATATAGTATTTCATCCCTCATATAGTAATTCATCCCTCATATAGTATTTCATCCCCCCATATAGTAATTCATCCCTCATATAGTATTTCATCCCCCCATATAGTATTTCATCCCCCCATATAGTATTTCATCCCTCATATAGTAATTCATCCCTCATATAGTATTTCATCCCCCCATATAGTATTTCATCCCCCCATATAGTATTTCATCCCCCCATATAGTATTTCATCCCTCATATAGTAATTCATCCCTCATATAGTATTTCATCCCTCATATAGTATTTCATCCCTCATATAGTATTTCATCCCTCATATAGTATTTCATCCCCCATATAGTATTTCATCCCCCCATATAGTATTTCATCCCCATCATATAGTATTTCATTCCCTCATATAGTATTTCATCCCCCATATAGTATTTCATCCCTCATACAGTAATTCATCCCTCATATAGTAATTCATCCCCCATATAGTATTTCATCCCTCATATAGTATTCACATCCCCCATATAGTATTTCATCCCTCATATAGTAATTCATCCCCCCATATAGTATTTCATCCCCCATATAGTATTTCATCCCCCATATAGTATTTCATCCCTCATATAGTAATTCATGCCCCTGATATAGTAATTCATCCCCCATATAGTATTTTCATCCCCCCATATAGTATTTCATCCCTCATAAAGTAATTCATCCCTCATATAGTATTTCATCCCCCACAGTACTATTCCCCCCCCCCCCTTCTAGTAAGCCAAGTCCCCGTGTCAATTCACTTACCTTTTGCGTTCCTCTCGCTGTCTTCCCGCGCCGTTCGGGTCTTCAGGGCGGACTGTGAGAGGAGCCTAGCTCCCCTCCCCTCACGTTCGGCACGCTGCCCCGCCTACACACATCCTGACAGCCACATCCGCAAGCCGGATTAAAAGGTCCGCGCGGACTTTTGGGGCTGCCAACCGAGAGGAGGCAGGGGAGCGGCCGACCGAGAGGAGGGAGGGGAGCAGGCGCCCGGCACACAGAAGAGCCGCATTAGACTGGGTAAAGAGCCGCATGTGGCTCGCGAGCCGCGGCTTGCCGACCACTGGTCTAAAGCAATACAGTTGGTACAATCAGATTGTATAGCGTATGGCCAGGTAAAAGTTACTGAAATGAAATGTCCTTTCTGTGTGCTATGAGAAATTGGTGACCTTGCACCCCCCAGCCTGTCCTCTGAATTCTACTGGTGGAGTTCTGCTTTAATATTTCATTCCTGCCTCTGGGCCTGTCCAGATTTGGAAGGAAAGCCCGATATAGATGGATACATTAGTGGCGGCCCTTCCTAGTATGAAAAGTGAAATCTAATCTTCCCCAAATCTCCGGCTCTCGTTTTAAGACCTGGAGCGGACGCACATCTCTGAGTAATCGGGAACCGCGGTCAGGTTACACACAAGGCGCTATTTATAACTCCCAGGGCCGGGGGGGGGGGGGATGGGTAAATGCGGCAAGTGCATCTGAACCTCCTGACCCCTGAAGAGGAGATGGAAATGCGATTAACATTTCAATAACATAATAACGATACATATCTCTGGACATAACTATCCGCAACGCTGGCACAGGGGGCTGAAGACCAGTCTCAGCCTAGGTTTCTCCACCACTATGCCACAGACTTGGACGATGGGCTACATTCCAACACAGAAAATGGTAAATTATTCATAAAATCAAAGATTTGCCATTTGAAAATCTGATTGTTCTGGTGGAAATAACAAGAGAGAAGTGAAGCCAATCTGTGGTGATGTTCGCTCAGGATTGCTGACCTCAATGGTTGGGTGAGCTGATTCACTCAGTTGACTAGTGAAGGGACCTTACCAGTTCACGTCTCATCTGCTGAGCGCACAACATGGCCACCACTGGACAGGGATTTACGGTTTGTGGAACATACGACATGGCCACCACTGGACAGGGATTTAGGGTTTGTGGAACATACAACATGTCCACCACTGGACAGGGATTTAGGGTTTGTGGAGCATACGACATGGCCACCACTGGACAGGGATTTAGGGTTTGTGGAGCATACGACATGGCCACCACTGGACAGGGATTTAGGGTTTGTGGAGCATACGACATGGCCACCACTGGACAGGGATTTAGGGTTTGTGGAGCATACGACATGGTCACCACTGGACAGGGATTTAGGGTTTGTGGAGCATACGACATGGCCACCACTGGACAGAGATTTGGGATTGTGGAGCATACAACATGCCTACCACTGGACAGGGATTTGGGGATTATGGAGCATACAACATGGCCACTACTGGACAAGGATTTAGGGTTTGTGGAGCATACAACATGCCTACCACTGGAGAGGGATTTATGGTTTGTGGAGCATACAACATGGCCACCACTGGACAGGGATTTAAGGTTTGTGGAGCATACAACATACCTACCACTGGACAGGCATTTAGAGTTTGTGGAGCATACAACATACCTACCACTGGACAGGGATTTAGGGTTTGTGAAGCATACAACATGGCCACCACTGGACAGGGATTTAGGGTTTGTGGAACATACAACATGGCCACCACTGGACAGGGATTTAGGGTTTGTGGAGCATACAACATACCTACCACTAGACAGGGATTTAGAGTTTGTGGAGCATACAACATGGCCACCACTGGACAGGGGTTTTTAGGGTTTGTGGAGCATACAACATGGCCACCACTGGACAGGGATTTAGGGTTTGTGGAGCATACAACATACCTACCACTGGACAGGGATTTAGGGATTATGGAGCATACGACATGGCCACCACTGGACAGGGATTTAGGGTTTGTGGAGCATACGACATGGCCACCACTGGACAGGGATTTAGGGTTTGTTGGTCATACGACATGGCCACCACTGGACAGGGATTTGGGGATTGTGGAGCATACAACATGGCCACCACTGGACAGGGATTTAGGGTTTGTGAAGCATACACCATGGCCACCACTGGACAGGGATTTAGGGTTTGTGGAGCATACAACATACCTACCACTAGACAGGGATTTAGAGTTTGTGGAGCATACAACATGGCCACCACTGGACAGGGGTTTAGGGTTTGTGGAGCATACAACATGGCCACCACTGGACAGGGATTTAGGGTTTGTGGAGCATACAACATACCTACCACTGGACAGGGATTTAGGGTTTGTGGAGCATACGACATACCTACCACTGGACAGGGATTTAGGGATTATGGAGCATACGACATGGCCACCACTGGACAGGGATTTAGGGTTTGTGG